GCACAGTCCCACCATTACCTCAGTCGATGCCCTTTCCTTCCGGCAGAAGATCGCCAGTATTTAACTCGCGCTCGACAAGTAATGGCAGACAACCCAAACATAGCCTCCTCTGATTCTGAGCCAGAAGAGCCTGTCTTACCCAAGCTGCAACCCACAGCCACCGAGTAACGTCTACCGGCCGACGTGTCCGCACCAAACGATCTCCTCAACTAAACGTGTTCTACCAACACCATGCATTACAGCTTACCCTCGACACCGGAGCGGAGACAAGCATGATCAAAACATCTGTTATCAAGAAAATTGGGGCAACAATATGCAAGACAAGACAGTCTGCCCTACAGGCCGATGGCATTACCCCCCTAACAGTCATTGGAGAGGCCACCTTACCTTACACCACAACCATGTAAACCTCCTGCTTGATGCTCTTGTAGTAGACGAACTTGACGTTGACATATTGGCAGGAACACCATTCATGTCAGTCAACGACATTTCTGTTCGACCTGCCAAACAGCAAATATCCATTCAGGGAGCTCATGTTTCTTATTACGGTGATGATGCACCGGAGGCCTCCCCAAATCACATCAGGAGACCCATGCCCAAGTTTTACGTGCCCCACCAACATTAACAGTTGTTTGGCCAGGAGACTACCTAGAGGTAGACTTACCAACTGATATCCAACCTGATGCCACCCTTGCAATCGAACCTCGTCCCGATTGTTCCAAGAGGTGTCGTGACTGGCCCCCTCCACACATTGTCCAAGCTGTAGCTGGTCAGGTGCGTATCCTGAATGCCACCAACAAGCCACAACAAATTGCTCGGAATGAGCATTTCTGCCAGGTACTTCACACCCAAACACCAGAGACACCTACCACACAGTCAGTTCCCTCCAATGTTGTCCCTACAACACCTACTGTAGCTGCCCACTCTTCCACTGTTCAATTGGATCCTGACAATATTTTACCTGTCCACATTCGTACCGAGTTCAAAAAAGCCCTACAGAAGTATGATACCGTATTCGACCCCGCCCTCACCGGATACAATGGAGCTGTTGGCCCTTTCAAGCTACTGTCAACATGGGTCCAGTCCAACCCCCTCAACGAAGGGTCGATTACCCCAATACTCTCGAAACAAGCTTCTTGAACTCCAAGATAAATTTGACGAGCTTGAACGCCAAGGAGTATTCAACGCCCAGAGGACATTGGCGTCACAATAGAATACCTCAATCCATCGTTCTTGGTCGCTAAACCTTCTGGAGGTCATAGGTTGGTCACAGCCTTTGCTGATGTTGCCAGGTACAGCAAGCCTCAACCATCGCTCATGCCAGATGTCGATACCACCTTACGCACTATTGCTCAATGGAAGTACCTAATCGTCACTGATTTAACTAGTGCATTTTACCAGATCCCATTAGCAAAAGAATCGATCAAGTATGTGGGGTAGCCACACCATTCCGAGGCATCCGAGCATACACCCGCTGTGCCATGGGCATGCCTGGCTCAGAGACTGCCTTAGAAGAGTTGATGTGCCGAGTCCTGGTGATTGTCTACAGGACGGGATAGCCACAAAATTGGCTGATGACCTGTATTGCGGAGCAGACACACCCGAGGAACTTCTTCAGAACTGGCAACGTATCCTGGATTCCCTTGCGAAGTGTAACCTACACCTTTCTCCATCTAAAACCATTTGTCCTCGCTCCACTACTGTTCTTGGATGGATATGGACCCAAGGTTCCTTAACAGCAAGCCCACATCGTATTGCTACATTATCTTCCTGCCCCCCACCAGAGACAGTGCGCAGCCTTCGATCATTTCTTGGAGCTATAAAGCCCTCAGTCGTGTGCTACCAAGGTGTTCTCAACTTCTCGCACCACTGGAACAGGTCAGTGCAGGTCAGGAATCCTGCACCAAGATAAAATGGACGGACACATTGTTGGAGCAGTTCCATCTTGCCCAAAAGTCTCTTGCTGAACACAAGTCGATCACTCTGCCCGGCCATCAGACCAGCTGTGGATTGTCACAGATGGATCCGTCAGTAAATACGGTATTGGCGCCACCTTGTACATCAACCGTGACAACAAGATCCACCTCGCAGGTTTCTTCAGTGCTAAGCTTCGAAAACACCAGGTTACCTGGTTGCCATGTGAAGTAGAGGCACTCAGCATCGCCACTGCCATCAAGCATTTCAGTCCCTATATAATCCAGTCGACCCAGCAAACCTGTTTATTAACGGACAGCAAACCATGTGTACAGGCAATCGAGAAATATGCCGTGGAGAGTTTTCCGCAAGCCCCCGTGTAACATCTTTTCTCTCTATTGTCAGTCGATATGCAGTCTTTGTCCAACACCTTGCAGGATCAGCTAACATCCCCTCCGATTTCTCCAGCCGCAACGCTGCTGAGTGCACTGAGCCGCGTTGTCAAGTTTGTACCTTCATCGCTGTTACTGAAGATTCTGTCATTCGCTCCACCTCGGTTCAAGACATACGGGACTTGTCCCATCTTCCTTTTACTACCAGATCTGCCTGGAGCACAATTCAAGCCGAGTGTCCTGATCTTCGTCGGACACATGCCCACTTAAAGCAAGGAACACGTCCCTCAAAGAAGACTACAAACATGTCAAGAAGTATTTAAACGTTGCTTCCATCGCCAAAGACGGCCTCCTCGTTGCCCCACACAGATCCCTTATCCCCAAGCACTGAATTAATCATTGTCCGAGAAGTGCCCTTGACGGACTCGTAACTGCTCTCCATCTGCGATTCGACCATCCTACTCCCCACCAACTCAGTCTTGCCATGAAGCGACACTTCTATGCTCTCGATTTGACAAAAGCTATCGAACGCATCTCCAATACATGTCACACTTGCGCCTCACTCCGACATCTCCCACAACCACTTTTACAACACACACCAGTGACCCACCCAGCGTGGTCGGAGTTTCATTTGCGGCAGATGTGCTACGTAGAAGCAGACAAAATATTCTTGTACTACGGGAAACTACAACGTCGTTTACGTCAGCCACCATCATTCCCAATGAGAAGAGCACGACACTTCGGGACAGTTTATCCACCTTAGTTGCTGCTCTCCGTTCACCTGACGGACCACCCGCTACTGTCCGGGTTGATCCCGCTCCCGGTTTCATCGGATTACAGAATGACTTGACTCTGAAACAAATAGGTGTCACGTTAGAGATTGGCAGAATTAAAAATGTTAACAAAAACCCCGTCGCCGAAAAAGCCATTGCGGAACTCGAAGAAGAACTACGTCGCCGAAACCCAGACGGAAGCCCAGTCACCCCAGTTGAGCTTGCCCTTGTGATTTCCAGACTAAATTCCCGTCTCCGCCGGAACGGTGTATCTGCACATGAGCTCTGGACTCACAGAGATCAGTTCTCGAATGCTCAAATTCCAATTAAAGACACGGAGGTTATCGCGAAGCAACACCACGATCGTATTAAGAACCATCCCTATAGTGAACAGTCCAAAGGCTCAAGAAATGCCCACACACGTCGCAAGTCACAAAGCATACAAGTTGGCGATCTCGTTTACCTGTCCACCGATAGAGACAAAACCAAAGCTCGCAACCGATATATTGTGGTATCAATCAAGCTCCCCTGGTGTTTTGTTCAAAAATTCACCGACACACAGCTGCGCGCAGCCTCGTATAAGGTTCGAATCGATGAATGTTTCCGTGTGTCCGATGGGGTCGACCAACCTCCTCCCAAACGTTTCACAGAGTCCGATGATAGCGATGATGAAGACACAGGTCCTGCCGAACCCGTACCTCCCAGTCCACCAGGGGTCCCCGCGTTTTGCAAGCAAGTCCACCGAGTTTGCCCATGAGACCCTCCCGTAAAAGAAACCCTCCACATACTTTGGGTATGAACATTGTTAACGTTACTGTTCTAGTTATATTCACATTATTAACATTAGCATAAAGAAGATAAAAGAAAGAAACCACGCCACCCTTTGTGGCATGTTACATGAAGTAGATAATTAGTATTGCATGTTAGACTCACTTCCGGCGCTTTCACGCGTTTTCCTGGATTCGTTGTTGTTCATGTTTTGGTGAATGAAATACGAATTGCATTCGAAGCAGACTTATATTATATTAGAGATTATACTTGTGTCTTGAGTTATTCTTGTGTATTGGCGTTAAGGAACAATGCCAATGCATGTATGACTATGTGTATATTATAATACTTGTAGAATTTTTCTCACGAATGACTATTCACCACTGAAATCTGCACTGAATGCAGGATTTTGATATTCCACTGACTGACCACCCCCCTTAGTATGACGTTGATTATCATTGGTGACGGGGGGTTGCAATGCCTGATAAACGTTTGCTGGTTCTTTTTTATCTTGTAACGACATGTAGTTCGATGATTCTTGTCCTTTTTCAGTTCCACGTGCACCCTCATTTCGCTCAATTTCTTCAATAACATCATCTGGAGTCTCGTAAACAGTCTCATCATTTTGAGTTCTGTGATCATATTTTGCTCCTTTGTTTGTTCTCGGATCTTTTAAAATAAAATCTATGCAGTTACATGAGAATTTAGAAATAACTTATACAAGAAGTTTTTTTTAAGTTTTACACGTTTATACTCCATCTATAACCCCCTATTACTTTTCCATTGCCTATATATTGATGCACGAGTGTAGGAAAGTGTAAAAAAGTAGCTACGAATGTAACGAAAACTAGTGAATTTTTCAAACTTTTCTTTACCAAACTTTCCTTAACTTATATTTCCCTGCATGGTAACAAACAAATATTTTTTTCTTAATCTCTAAACTTACTTAATCATTATGCTGAAGTAACCCAAGCAAATGGCAACTTAGTTTACCACTTCGTGAATTTTAAACTTACCAAACTCTTTTATTTCGTTTGTCTGTTTTGAGGTTCCATATCCATGATTCACATCTTTATTTTGAAGAAGACGACGTTGGTACACAATAACACCAAGTGAAACCAGAAAATATAAAGCCAGAATAATCAGCGGTATAAAGAAGACCCATGCGCGTTTTGTCTTCGTCGGATTGTTTAGAATTGTTACTTTTCAAAGAAACTACAAAAATAATTGAAGAATCTTTATCTGGCTCGCACGTTAATCTGCGGTGCAGAGAACAATGAAATAAAAGTATAACTGGAAATTAATAAATAGAAGATCTTCACCTGCAGGTGCTTCTTCTATAGTTTTAAAACTGCTGCTCCATTCCGTCGAGTAGTACGAATCCTTAACAGAAGTATTAAAATTATTCACTGGAGTATTATAATTCTGCATGGTCCGGAAAATAATTATTTAGTACAAATTCTAAATCTGCCTGTTATTACTTGGGAGTGAAAATGTACATACATGTATGAACTGTCTAGATTAGAGCTCGGCCATTGTTGTTCATTTCCCGCCGATACGGTATAATCTATTTACATTACGTACGACCCATAGGGCCTCACCAGATGCTACATTCCTCCTTTCCTCTAGAGTCAACAACGTAACGTAAACTATTTTTAAAACTCAACCATATCAATCTCTTTTTCTATTACTATTTAGAGTTCCTTATGTATTATATTGTGAAGTCCTTTGCTTCCGCTATGATATTCAAAGTTTTCATCCCTAAAGCGGGCTGGTGGTCTCTTTTCTCTCGACGGTCGATCACCCTCATTTGCTTGGTGTGCTGCTCTTGCTCTTCCCTCTGGGTCCTCTGCTATTGGTTGATCATTTCTTTGCTGCAGCTCTTCGTTCTCTTCTTGTTCTGGTGCGGGTGGAGTAGGTGGTGGTGTCATCTCTTCCATCCCAGCTGGTTCTGTTTGATCTGGTGTAGGTGTGGACGTTGGGGTGTCTGTGTCTAGGTCATTCGGTAGCCTCTTGAAAAATGTAACATGTCTGGTTATAATCTTTGTTTCCCCTTTTGCTACCACCATACTTCCTTTTCTTTTAATCACTCTCAATATTTCGTTGCTGTAAGCTGGCGTGTGCTTGTTTGCTCTTTGCTGTCGACAAAGTACCTTGTCGCCCACCTTAATCTCACTCGTTCGGACGTGTTGCTTGCTGTCCGCCCTTTTTTTCATCCTTTCTTTGCTGATTTTGTCATTCCGTCTCACCTTCTTGTCATAGACTAGTATGGTTTTGTTGGTTGTTGTGGGCAGTCTTGTTTTGTACCTTCTGCCATTGAACACTAGTGGTGCAGGTGACTGTTGTGTCATTGGATGGGGTGTGGCTCTATATGCTCTGAGGCACCACCAGCTTCCTGCCTTGCAATATTTTCCCTGGGCTACGGATAACTCGCATTCACGTGTGCATCAACTAATTTTGCTTTTTGATGTTCCGTTTGCTGGTATGTCATTGGACTTTGGGGTGGGTGTCTGGACATGTAGTCGGTGGGGTTATCCTTTCCTGGTTCATGCCTTAGTTTGAAGTTGTAGCCTTGTAGGTTAAGCTTGTGTCAGTGTATTCTTGGAGGCATCTCAGCGCGGTATCTGTTGTAGAGTGGCAGCAGTGGTTTGTGGTCAGTTATGACTATAAAGTGGGGAAGTCCGTAGAGGTACATGTGGTTTCTTTTGATTGCAAATTCGACGGCTGCACTTTCTAGCTCGATTTGTGCATAGCGCGATTCTTGCTTTGTGGTAGAACGACTGTCGTATCGCACCACTTTGTGTCTGCCCGTCTCCGTGTCGAATTGGGTTAGCATGCTCGCTAGGCCGTATTTGGATGCGTCTAGGATAAGTTGCGTTGATCGGGTCGGATCATAGCAGGCCATGACTTGGGGGCTGACCATTGCTTTCTTTAGAGTATCGAAAGCTTCCTGGCACTTATCTGTCCATTCGAACCGGGCGTTCTTCTTCGTCATCTCTCGCAATGGTGCTGTATTTTCTGAATAATGCTGTATGAAGCTTGCACTGTAATTTGCGATCCCGAGGAAAGATCTCACTTCTCCCACTGTAGTTGGTGGCGGTGCCTCAATGAGAACCTTGACTTTTTCATCTGTTGGTGACATGCCCTTTGCTGAGAATTTCATGCCAAAGAATTCGATTTCCGGTTGATCAAACTTGCATTTCGGCAATCCTAGCGTTAGTCCACAATCTTCAAATCTTTGAAGAACTTGTGCGAGCGCTGTGTCGTGCTGCTGCTGTGTCTTACCGTATACGATGATGTCGTCATACAGGTTGTCAACATTGGGAATGTCGACCATCAGTTGTGATATCTCTTCATGGAAGATTTCTGCTGCCGAGTTTGTCCCAAAGTTTAATCGTTTGAAACGTCGGAGTCCACGATGGGTGTAAAATGTTGTTATATATCGTGAATTTGGATTCAACTCTAGTTGCATGTATCCTTGTTTCATATCCAGTTTGGTGAATTGCTTGGCCTCGTTTAACTTGTATCTTAGTTCCTCTAAGGTAGGTATGACATGTCTTGTGCGTTTGATGGCTGTGTTTATTGTTATTATTATTATTATTATTATTATTATTGGGTAAAATACACAGTTCTAGTAGCTACTACCAGCTAAATTGTTATGTGCATTACAATAACAAGTCTATATTTAAACTATGATAACAATAAAAGACTACATTAAAGCTATATATACTATAAGAAGATTACTACACCTAAGATAAAAATTCATTATACTTTAAGATTGCATAAGTAATTGGGCTGTTCTTAAATCGTTCTGTATTTGCCTTATAATTATAGTACTTTTGACTATTTAGTCTTGTTTCCCTCTTTCTAATTTCTCCAATTCTCTTTGGAAGTAACTTATGCAGTTTGTGGTCTACATTCGACATATCCTTAATTAGGTCTATGCACATGCGGTCTCTCCGACTCTCCAAACTTTCTATTTCTGATGAAGATTCTCATCATAATCATCATTCTTGTAAATTATCCTCAATGCTCGTTTTTGAATCCGTTCAATATCTCTACACTGTTCCTTAGTAATCCCTCCATGCCATACCTGAGCTCCATATTCCAGGACTGGTCTGATGACTGTGATGTAAAATTTTTTTAATTCATCAGGAATTGCACCATATGATTTTAATACTTTAAGAAGGAATAGTCGTTTAGCAGCCTTTTTTACTTCTTCTCTGTATTTGTCTTCCACTTCATATCATCATCAATCCAAAGACCCAATAGTTTATACGTACTAACCCTTTCAATCGTGTGGTTATCAATTTTCACCGGTGGTATGACAGTTTTATTCCTTCTTAAATCGATGAGCATTTCTCTACACTTTTTCAAGTTTAATTCCATTTTTTGTTCCTTAGTGAACTTCGCAACTTGGCTCATGTTCCTTGTAGCGTTGCCAATGACATTACCTGACGTGTGATATCTATGATTTCAGAGATTGTGGTATCGTCCATAAATATTGATACATCATCGTCGTCCTCATTACCTTCAAAATCTTCACCAGATACTTCTGATTGTTTCAATACTGAGGGAAGTCCATTTAAGTGCACAATAAATGCAACAGGTCCTATTTTGCTACCTTGAGGTACACCTCCATGTATAGTATATCTTTCAGATAACTCGTTTCCAAATTTCGTAACTTGACTTCTACCACTCAAATACGATGCAAGCCATGATATCAGTGCTGGTCGAATGCCAATCTTAGAACAATTTTCAAGCAATATATTATGATCAATAAGATCATAAGCTTTGCGGAAGTCTAGAAATATTAGCCTAATTACGAAGCCAGGGGCATCCAGAGCCTTCTGCCACTTATGGACCAAGTATATTAGGGCAAGAACGGCAGACGATCCAGGCTGTCCTCCATACTGTGCTTTCGAAATTTTTCCTTCAACATCCTCGTTTATCCATTTAACTACATATGATTCTTGAAGCTTAGAAATTACACTTGTTAGTGCAATGGGGCGTAATTTTTCAGCGCTAGTACAAGCTACACACTTTGGATTGGTATAACCCCAAATTCTTTCCAGGTGATTGGGAAACACTTTGATTTGAAGGATTCATTAAAGATGTGCGTGAGTGGTATTGCAAAAGCCTACGCAAATATCTTCAGGATTTTACAATTGGGATCATTTAAACCAGATGCCTTGTTAGTTTTTAAGTTTCTCAATTTGGTCAAAACGGATTATTTAATTATGGGTAAGGACTCACCCGCGCCATATTCAAACCACCTTTTATGGACGTCGGGAAAATCTTCGGTCAAACTTGCAAAGAAATTGTTAATAATTAGCAGTTTCCTTATCATTCATTGTAGCTTGACTTTCAGGGTCACTTATGAAAAAACTTTGAAGATTTGTTTCTGCCCGTTAATTGACTGATATTCTTCCACCATTTTGAGCTGTTTTATTACAGTTGCCTTAGTTGGTTGTTCCTGTTCCTGGAGCAATTCCTAGACGGTTATCTTGAGAATGTTCAGATCAAAAGCGGTGTATTTTCCGAGGATAGGCATGCCGTTGACTCTGTCTCATAAGTTGTGTGCTTCCTGGTTATTTGCTCGAATCGTTGTTCCGAAATATCCTTTAACTGGCAGCGGTTTAGATCCATACGGTTTCAATTTTGCACTCGATTTTCGCAATGGTGGTTTTCTGGTGAGGTTTTCATATGTGGTGTAACTCATGATGTTCACTTCTGCTCCAGAGTCCACTTGGGCTCTAAGTCGCTGGTCTTGTACCCTTATGGTGACTTTGGTGTTGTACTCTGGTTGCTGTGGTGGTGTCGTGTTCGTTATAACCTGATCTAGCTTCCATGTTACCCTGTTGAACTTGTAGGAGGCTTGTGTGTTGTCTTCGTCACTGCTTTCACTGTGGTGTTGCTCTACTGACTTGATTTTAAATGATCTAGATTGACAAACCACTGCGAAGTGCCCTTTCTTCTTGCAAAACATTGCATGTTGCTCCTCGGGCTTTGCACTTTCCTTTATGTGGTGTTTGTTGGCCACAGTATTTGCATATTTCAATTGTCGATTTGTTCCGTGATGTTGCTTCCTTAGTGACTTCAGTTCGTCTAGCTGTTGTGGGTGTCAACTTTTTCTTGAGCGTGTTTTTCTGACAAACTGTTGATCTGCTTGGTTCCGCCGAGTCCATTGATGTGTTTTTCATGAATCGGACTTCCCGTTGTGTGAGTTCTAGTGCGCGGGCGATGTCTATAACTGTCTTTAAATCCATACCTTTGCGATGATGTCCCGCTGTAGTTCTCCGCATGATGTGTGTATAGTGACTACCAGTTTAATTGCTTCATCTAATGTCATTTTTTCAAATTCACAGTCTTTGCCTTTTGTG